TGCTGCGATGCGGGCTGCCCTTTACAATCACTACTATTCTTGATTTTCCCCAGAGTCGGTTTCTTGGGGCAGAACACGTCTCTTTCCAAAACAACAAGAGAACAAAAACATGCATGTCAAACCCAGGAGAAGAAGTGGCCGATCCTCTTTAATCACTCATTCCGGTTTTCTGCGGAAGGTGATTCATGTGTTTCATGTTAAATTCTGGGATCGCTTGTGGTTTGTAGCCACAAGATTAGGGAAGAAGGTCGGATGTTAGCAATCGGTCTTCGGACCAAGTTTCTTCTCGCTTGGGTTTAAGACTCTTTCTTAGTTGTCCCTCTGGATTTGGCGTGTGCCCACATAAGTGCGTTGGTTCACTTCAGAAACACCTACAAGGGATTTCAGCTTTGCTGAAGCAGCAGACGTCTTTCCAAGTACCAAGCTAAGATCTTTCAAGCACAGGGTGGAAGAACACAGTTACGTGACACAGAAATCATAAGTGACACTGGTGTCACCGGTGTTAGAACATCTTACCTCACAAGCAGTTTACTGTAACAGCAGAGAAACATCTGATAGTCACTGAGGGACACCATTAGTTAGAGAGTGCAATCAGAACTATCCCTGAGCATCAGTATGTAGTGGTCAGAAACTCCTTCTGAATTTAAAGTCATGTTAAGAATCCAGTCGGGACATTTTGCGCCAAATCGCTCGAGGCAGGAAGCTGTAAAACTCAGCTCTGGCGTCACAACTACAAGTATTAGCCGAGGGCTGATCTCAGTCTCCATCAGCCTGGTGCGACACACAAAGTGCTCCATTAAAAGCATTCAAGAGATCTGTCTGCTGAGGCATCTGGCCGAACCAGCCTGAGCGGGTCCTGTGGAAGTCCCACCTCCCAAGCCATACCAGAGCGGCGATAAGGACATCATGTCACTGAGACCGGCTTCCTCATTCTAGCTGTTTCTCGATCCTTCGTCTCTCTGAGGTTGACGAAACCCTCAGCCAACCAAGGGCTCCTGTTAAGTTCTACCCTCTCGATAATGCTGAGAGGAACTCTGCAAAGCCATCGTCTAATTGGCTTCCAGATTGAGATGACACTTTTATATTCTGCTAAACAGGCTGCGCTCTGAATCTGCGAACACCTAGCTGGAGAAGCAGAAAGTTTCCAGAATATGTGGTTTTACGGTTATTGTGTAAAATTAGATAATGAGAAGTTATTTATTTTCATAACTGCATGGCAGCTGCAGAAATATTAGAAGTAGCCCAAGGCCTATCAACCTTTACAGACAGTATTGGTGAACATTTTATCTTTTCTACACCAGGTAATGCTCTATATTTATGCAAAGCTCCCTCTCTGGTAGTTAGGAATCCGGGATCTGTCGTTGGTGCTCACCGTCTGAGCACCCCAGCAGCGGAGTTAGACCAAAGCAAGGCTCTCGGCCAAGCTGATCTTATGGCACAAAAACTACACGAAAAATTGAGCTTTTAGTAACAGTGGTGGTGCATTCAACTCAATGTTTGTTCAAAATACATTTAAACAAGACGTGTATTATCATAAGGAACAAGAAAGGGAAAATGTTATTTGAAAAACGGTCATGAACAAATCTGTGTTCCTTTGTGTGTTTTAGATCCACAGTGAATATGTCTGAGGAGACTGAAGCTGCTTTAACCTCATCATTTAAGCCTAATTTTGAGGTCATTGATTTTTGTTCTCAGACCACGCAGGAAATATTACTGGGAGCAGATAAACTCATGCTCCAAATATGAATTCATCGATTTTTTACTTTAAAAATAAAAAATAAAAAATGGAATTAGAATGGTCAGTCTCTTATGAAAGACATAGACACTGTGTAATACTTCTGTATCCACTCTGCAGTACATAGTGGATTGAATATTTCAATTGTGTTCTATTAAAACGTCACTATCGTTTTTTATATATATATATCAGTTTAGCTATGTAGCTATGTAACTGTAAGATTTATTTCTCTTAAAAGTTCTGTTGTTTTACTTCCTACACAGGACAGAGGGCGCGAGAACAGCAGACGTAGCGAGGCAGATTTACCTAGAGCAGTGCTTCGTACGCTGCAGTTCATAAGCAAACCTAAGTAACAGAGAGCTTTGGTCTGTAGTTCTTGCTCCCGAAACCGCGCCCGGTCCTGTTAAAAGAGCAGGTAGCTAATGTCAATATCCCAGGGTTAGGACGATGACCGCAGAGCGTATCATCAGATATCCGTCGGGATAAACATAACGAATAAAATCGTATAACAACATAGCAGGTCTCATGTTGATATGCGCATCCTAGCTGTGTGATCCGAGTCCGTTACTTTGTGCCAAATCGTGTCTGCATTGCAAAACCTACTTTTTGACATCCATCAGTCCATCCCAAACATAAGGCGCGAATTTATATTAAACCACGAAGTGTTCTTCGTTTGTGCCGGAGTTGACAATGACGACCACGATGGCGACGCGTGTGTGTTGTTCAGCCAAAAACCCGTCCTTAAATTAACACAGATTGTGTGTGATACAGCATCGGTCGTATAGGTGAAGATGCGGCTTTAGCAGAGACGTGATTGATCCACCTCGTTCTCCAGGAGCGTCTCATTGTTCATCTGTAGCAACTGCAAGAACAAACAGTGTAGGGGTTTGTAGCATATTGCAGTCTTTAAAGAAAAAAAAAGTTTAAGGGCTTTGTGTTTAAATGTTTTAATAAAAGGACATCACTTGACTGAAAATGTGTTTTATTTTCTATTTTTTAATTACCAGAAGTCAGTCGTAGCTGTACGTACCGTGAAGGTGAAGCAGATCTGGTACAGCCTTGGTCCTAAATGCAGCTCATACTTACCATTTTAATGTGTAGGGATACTGTAATAAACAATATTAAGTCTAACTGCTAAACACTTTGTCCTTGTTTTCACTATATTTGTAATTGTCTAAAGGAGTTCAAGGTAAATAAAACGTACAATTAAGTTATAAACATTATATGTAATAGTCTTATATTTAAAACAATAAAATGCATACTGTAGTTTGAATTATTTTATTTTATTTTTTTGGTTGCTGAGAAAGAAATAATTGCCTGTACAAGTTATCTACGGTTTTTTGTTTCAGGGTTCGCAGGTCGACGTAAACATTTCGTGGAATGGGGTAAAACGTAGCATTAATAGGAGCACGGCTGGCAGAGTAATCAATTACCTTTGCACCCTTGAGTAAAACCTTTAATTCCATTCGCTCATGGGACAGCGTGGCCCTGATCCTCTGTTATACATTTCTTTGGACAAAGATGTCTGCTAAATTGGCGTAGTGAGTCATATGTATGGATTTCACCGACTTTGTTGCTGACTTGTTTTCTGGTAACGGACACTCACTTGCACATAGCGGACAACGGGACCAAAACAAACAAACAACTAACAAATATATACTTTTGCGTCTATAAGAACCTTCTTCAACAGTTCTCCAAATGATGAACGGCATAATTAACTTGACGCGAGCAAGGGCGCAGATTTGGGTACGGACGGTAGGGACATTGTGGCATAACCTTGTGTGATTAGGGGGGCGGGGTTGGGACTGGCATCGCATACAAGCCTTACCCCTTGCGGCCCCTTGATTCCAGTTCGTATTGTCTGAATGATCCGGGATTTGTCAATCCTGATATATCTGTATCGCAATGCTGCCACCACCTGGCGGAAAGCAATTGATATTTTTTATTGGGCTTCCGGGCTGAATGAAATCTAGCGGTTTGTTTTTACTCAGCCATGTAAAAACGTCCCTGTACATAGTTTGAATATCTGACGCGGAGTTTATGTATTTTATATTTGCTAGAATTAATCCACTGTCTTTTTGCCCTTATGACCGACTAAAAAATATTAGGATGACTTAAATCACTCTAGGTACTTTTAGCACCTTGAGGTAAAATATTTAAAATATTTTCGATGAGACGGGTATCAAACTGAGACAAAAAGTAACAATTTCGCCATGCTTGATTAAAAGAGCATTGACTTTCAATGACGGAAGTCTCTAGCACGTAGTAATAGTATAGCTTCACGTAGTATTCCACTAGAGGGCAGCAAACTGTAAGGAAAATATTCCTTCAAAATCATAGCGTCTATCTAGATGTCTGTTCTGCAGGCGGCGGTAGAATTGAGGCGTTTAAATGCTTCTTCACTAGAGAGCAGCTGCACTATTTAAGGCCCATTCATCCATCTTCAAGCGGTTTTTTTTAAGCAGGCGGAGCACTATCACTGTTGGGCCCTTGAAGAAGCTCCTGTCTGACTCTTCTTCCTCAATTACACGTTGTTCTGGATGAAAGAATTTGTAATAAATGTTAATTAATCACAACTGGCTGAAATAAAAAGCATAAAGAGACGGGGTGCTGCAAACCTGGTGGAGTAGCTACTGCTGTGCAGGATCATACATCCAATAAAGGTAGGTTAGGTTTGGTCCTACATCCTGCATGGGACAAGTGGGATTAGAAAATATTAGAAAATAAGATATTTGCATCTCCTGTTGCAACCAAAAAACTCTTCTTTGATGTCACATATAGAAGAGTGAAGGTAGTGATGTCCGATCCACTTCCTATAGACTTCAGAAAAGCCCCTCATGGTCAAAATGCATGTATGTATCTGAGGAATATGGGGGAAAAAAACACATAAAAGTAAACAAAGTGAAGAGCATGTTGTGAAAGAGCTGCCCTGTTCCGTGGAGGATGCTGAGACGTTCACTGCCCTCCATGTTTATCTACAACGGTCTCAGGTACTATGAGGCAGCTATCGACATGTTTATTTCTTGCCTGGTTTCTTGCATTAATGCTGCCTACACACAGGGCTGCACTGAGATTAAAATTTGGCCCCTGACTTGAATGAATTCAGAATTCAATGAATTTTGATGTCCCCCATACCCATTAACCCACCTGAAGAATGCCAGATAGCCAGTCCAGCCCTACCTACACGCAATGTGGTCCGAGCCAATGGCTTTTAAAGATTTGGCACATTTCAGAAAGCACCAGACTGGCATGTTAAATAGGTGAAGTCGTAAGAACAAAACCAAAAAAAAAGCAACATATGGACTGTTTCCGGTCTGCTTCCATTCATGGCACCATAGCCAACGTTTTAGTCACAGGTTGCTGGGGTGTGCCCTCCACTACCCATGCACGCCTGAGACTCACTCCCAGCATTACTCACTCGTCACTAGGGCACGGTAGGCACCTGTCGATCAGGTAATTAAGCCTATCTTTGAGAACAAAGCGGACAAGAAGTAATGAGAAGTGATGTTGTGTCCGAAACCAGGACTCAAAGGCGTGTATTGAGTGCTAAGGGAAGACTTCGGCCTCGAGGCTTGTATTGTTCTCAGAGAATCACGTGACTGACAAGAAACAAGACTTCGCTTCCCAACAGGGTTGCAAATACGAGTATGTGAAGCCCCATGCATTTTGTGGGTTGTTTTGGTTGGTGTGAAGATTTTGAGCGTTGTGCCAAAGAGGTCACTATTGAGAGATTTTGGCTGGAGAAGTTATTAAGACATGATAAATGTTATTGATCCCAAGGGGGGAATTGTTGAAATAATTGAAGTTGTTCTTTTTTGTTGTCCTTTCCTTTTCTATCTAAAAAATAAAAACACAAAGAAAGAGACAATATTCCCAAGTTTGGACATATATTCCTTTTTAAAATGAGAAACCTGTTAAGCCTTAATACAGTGAAATAACATCATGCAATCATCCATGTTCTATAACCACCTATCCCAGAGGCTATGAGTGCAAGACTGGGAACAGCAAAGATTGGGTGCCAATTACTCATCACAGGGCTCATTCACACGTCACTCACACCTATGAGCAATTTGGTAACTCCTATTCATCTTAGCATGTTTTTGGACTGCAGCAATGGTGGAAACCCGAACCCTGATCCCAGAGGTGCGAGGCAACAGTGTTGACCACTGCATCACCATGTCACCATCACTAACTTTTGTTTTTGAATAAGAATTGTTAAATGATGTCACAATTCACAGACACATTGCATTGTCCTTACTAAAGTATCAGTTCCAGTTATAGAAATACATTTATTGCCCAATTGAAGCCCAACATATATACTGCAATATTTATTTTTTTGTTCATGCAAGTCAGCACAGTGAGCATTCATTATGCACATAATATGCTCACTGGCCACTGTATTAGGTACACCTTACTAGTATGGGTTGGACCCCCTATTGCCTTCAGAACTGCCTTCATTCTCCATGGCATAGATTCAGCAAGGTGTTTGAAACATTCCTCAGAGACTCTGGTCCATTCTAACATGACAGCATCACACAGCTGCTGCAGATCTGTCAGCTGCACCTTCATGAGCTTTGTGACATGGTGCATTATCCTGCTGGAAGTAGCCATCAGAAGCTGGGTACACTGTGGTCATAAAGGGATGGACATGGTCAGCCGCAGCACTCAGGTGGGCTGTAGCATTTAAACGAGGCTCATTTGGTACTGGGGGGCCCAAAGAATGGCAAAAAAATATCCCGCCCCCATAACAGCACTACGAGCCTGAATTGTTGATACAAAGCAGGACAGCTTCAGGCTTTTATGTTGTTTACGCCAAATACTGACCCTGCTATCTGAATGTCGCAGCAGAAATCAAGACTCATCTGAGTCAACATTTTTACAGTCTGCTATTGTACGAAATTGGCGAGTCCGTGCCCACTGAAGCCCCGCTTTCCTGTTCTTAGCTGACAGGAGTGGCACCCTGTGTGGTCTTCCGCTTCTGTAGCCCAACTGCTTCAAGCTTTGACGTGTGCATTTAGAGATGCTCTTCTGCATACCCTGGTTGTATAGTGCAGTTATTTAAGTTACTGTTGTTTTTACATCTGTCATGACCTGCTCGTCCGATTCTCCTGTGTGGCACGCCCCCTCGTTAACCTTGTGTGAAATCCCGATGTCATCAGCTGTTGCTTGTTATTTTCAATTAGTCTTGCATACTTCAGTCCGTGTTAGAGTACGTTTCCCCAGTCTTGTCATTGACTTTGCCGTTCTGTGCCTACTTTGTTGTTTCTGTGGAATAAACCCCTTATTCCCGACCCTGATTCCCCACTCCGTAATTCCCCTGCTCTCCGACCGTTCACAGCATCATCAGCTTGAACCACGTTGGCCAGTCTTCTCTGACCTCTGCCACCAACAAGGCATTTTTGCCCAAAGAACTGCCACTGACTGGATATTTTATCTTTTTCGGGCCATTGTCTGTAAACCCTAGAGACGCTTCTGCATTAAAATCCCAGGAGATCAGCAGTTTCTGAAATACTCGTACCAGCCCATCTGGCATCAACAACCACACCACGTTCAAAGTCACTTAAGTCACCTTTCTTCCCCAGTCTAGTGCTTGATGTGAACATTAACTGAAGCTCCTGACCTGTACATGCATGATTTTATGCATTGTGCTGCTGACATACAATTAGCTGATTAGATATTTTCTGCAACAAACAGTTGAACAGGTGTACCTAATGAAGTGGCCAGTGACTGACTGTATATTTTCACCAATAGGTGTCACTAGTTCACACTGTGTTGAATAGCGCTTCCAGTGATAAACTTTTTGGCGAATCATCGGGCTAGTGTGCCTCAGTGCTGCAGAGAAGCTCGTTTCGCCGTCCCTGTGAGGGCGTTATGATCGCGACTTCTCAAGCAGAAGGGAAACTCAATCAACATTTCGACATTTGAATTCAGAGAAGGCATTGATCACTCCAGACTCGTTGCATTTGTTCTTGAACACTGGGGTGCCAATTGGCAGTAATTAACAGTAAGGGTGTGATCATCAAGAAACAGGCACATACCTGAAAGCGCATAAAATGAAACGCTGACGACCAACGACCCTTAGCTGCTGTAAATAGTTAATGATTATCCATCACCAAGTATGGTCGACCGGTTCATCACTTTGGGTTCGTTTTAAAAGAATATTTTCAAAAATAAGTAGCCTATTACCGGTAATGTTGCGGTACGATATAAAGTACAATGCATAAAAATGTGTTAGCTTGTTGACACTGAGATCTGCTGAATGTCCGCAGTGAGGCTAAAAGAAACAACAGAACCTCGGAAACAGAACAGAAGAATCGAATCAAATGCGGGTTCAGATGATTGAAGGGGCGGGAAATGGTCGATAACCTCTTGCCACACCGCTGGCTTATCTGTTGTTGCAGGAAACTAGCACTTGTGACATGAATGGGGCCAAGGAATATTTTGGTATGTAGTAACAGCGAGCTTTCTAATGGTAAAATGAGGTGTACCCGAGGAGAGAAATGCTTAAGTCTCCGTTTGTTCTTCGTAAGAGAAGGCACATGTGTGGTAGAAAACGCAGAGTAGGCCTATCTAAAGCATCTCAACTCCCGCTATTCCATATGAAAATGGCAAATCAACTTGCCGAATGTTGTCTTGTTTTAAACAATTTAATTTGTAAACTTATGTAATAGTTAATTTATATAGTTCGACTAGCCTATATAATCGTTGCTGCTTGTTTAGGTTAAGGGATTTTTTTCAGTGATGTGTAATCAACATATTAGCGCCAGTATGCATAGAATCCTTATCCCCATTTAAAAGATACGATTTTAATATACTGTATAGACTATACTAATACGTTACCACATGCAGTCTGTAATGAAAAAAAAGATGTTCAATACGTAGACCTACGGTTGTTCTTATTTTTGCTTCAAATATTATCTCATTTGAAATAAAGAGATCTGATTTGATTCTTAAATTTTGCTTTATATTAATCATAACGGAGTATCTGCCCTCAAAGCTTTATCACTCTATTTCTGTCTTATCTGCCTTGTTCACTGTATCTTCGTGATAACCGCCCGAAATCAGATAGCGCTGAACACACTTGAAAAGCGAAGTAGTGCGGAAGATTTAGGGCGGGCTCAACGCACACGACTCCGCTGAAAAGGAGCGACAAGTTCCATCCACCTTGTCTGTGGTGTGGAGTTTGGCAGGGAGAGGCGGCAGACCGGTACCGCTGCAAGGGGCGCTTCGGACGGCGCCGCTGGAAGGAAACCGCGCCGCTGGAAGGGGCGCTGTGACAGATGTGCATTCCTCAGACAGGCGGCGCGTCCCTACAAGTCGAGCAGGAAGAAGAGAAACCAAGTTTACTGGCGCACTGGAGAGGAGGGGAGGCGCAGGTAAGATGCGAGGAGCATGGAGAGGCTGAAGTTAATTACGCTCTCATCAGCCATTTTGCGGTGTTTTCCGGGAAGAAGCGGGCAGACCTGCACCTCCAGCTTTTTCTGATTTTATACTGCATACTCCGTTTTGCACTTTTGTGCCACGTCACCCTTCCTTTAATAATGGTATCCGTTTTATTATTATTAGGAGTGATTAGAATTCTTAAAGAATGATACGGGTCTTAAAACGGGAAACATTCTGGGCTTTTCAGATACGTCCCCAGCCTGGCTTGCTGCTTTCCCCCAGCATCGTGTGCATGGCAGACTTATCTGGTTACCAAGTTAAATGGTAACCGGGACGGAGGCGGTGGCGAGCGGCTGGCGACGGAGAAAGAGGCGGACGGCGCGGCTTTCCCCCCTCCCCGGCGCAGACGGCCTTCGGACATGTCGCCCTGGACCATCTTACCTGTCAGTCTTCCCGTCCTGACCATCACCGGAATATGGGTTGTGTAAGTATATCTTTTAACTTTTAAACTGGCTTGGCTTTGCACACATTGCTGGTGGTTTAAGTACGGAGCTCTGTTGTATGACCATGATCAGGCTGCGCTTATCTGCTTTAAGAAACTTTTTCTAAAGTCCCTTAAAAGTTTATCGGTGTATAGTATTAATATGACTTTTGATTATTTTTGGTCATTATGGTGCAGTTATAGCCTAATTCATTCTCCGATGCTTTTGTGCTTCACAATGAGCTCGTGTTTATTGGTTTACAATGAGTTAAATTTCCTGAATACCTTATTTAGCAACATATTAATAATATTCTGCTTTTGTATTAAGAATCAAAATGCTTGAATTTAAATAAGTCGTTTCCATATCTCCTTAAGCAAATTAGTTTTCACGGCTGGGTATTTGATAGCGAGGAAATACAAGTTAGATAGGTTTCTCACGGGTTCGAGGGTGATACATTAACCGCAAAACGCTCTTGTGTATCGCTATTGATGATTATGTGGTTTCATTTCACGAGCGTCCATTTACAATTTGCACTTTTTATTAAACGTATTAATGATTTCATTTAGACACATTCACCGGAATTGTCCTGATGAACTTGAAAGGGCACGGACGAATTGGTGTTATTTTAAAGGAAGCAGTGGTGTTCTTTCTGTGTTTATTGGGGTATGACACCTCCTTGATCTGTAGACGTGAGGTTATCGCTGCCCTAAAATGACAGGGAGGGGGGGTGACATCAGGATCCCTCGTGCAAACTGAACTTCAGCTGGAAGTCAGGCTGCTTTAGCAGGACCCTGACAGCTGGCCTACGTGGGAACGTTTGCTGTTTCCAGGGAGCTGAGGGTCACTCGGGTGACCTGTGGGCAAAGAGACTGGAAAGGCACTCGCTAACTGGCACTGCCTGTGCAGTACTGACTGCATTCAGTGAGGAGGCCGCAGGGCCAGCGTGGGTGGCGGGGATATTAAATGGGCCCAAAGGCTCTGACGGGGCCCTGAGGTGCTGGTGTTTTTTGTGGGAGAGAGCTGGTGCTCAGGCTCTTCGCAGTGTTGGGAAGTGGTTCTGGTCCAGTTTAAGGTCAGAGATTAAAGTGCAGGACAACATGCGGGAATGCCTAGAACTGACGATGATGATGATAAGATGAAGAACTATTATCATTGTTTTGTTGCTGTTATTATCATCATGATGCCGGGGGTCGTGATGATGTGTCAGAATGCTGGGTGGCGTTTGCCGGAGAGCGACCCCCAGACCCCCAGACCCCCACCCCTGTAATAGTGCTAATTGTCCTTTAACATGTGGAAACATGGCTGATTTCAAAGGGAGGCAGCGGATGAAAGTTGCCAGGTCGCGTTGCTCATCTGCTTCTTGGCCCGTCGTTGTTTCCGCATGTGAAGCTCGTCTTCCTCATGAAGATGCTGGAGACGTGTATGCGCAGTAACTCTGCCTCTGGTGGTCTGTGGTACGGTCTGCACCACGCAGTAGGAATGCTGTGGACAGTAGGGAGTTAAAAAAACGAAGGTTCTGTGCCAGTGGTGTTGGACAGGCCCGTGGGTTCGTCAGTCAGCACCGCTAGGAGGGCGTGGGCAAAATGGCGGGCGGTGCTCCTGCAGCAGGGGGCTCACCCAGAGGGGAACCTGCTGGTTGGGGTCCTCGATTGCTGGCCTCCTCCCAAGGGATGTTCTCTCCGGGCTGTCTGCTCCCCTAGCAGATGTGAGGTGGAATGGAGGAGGACTTTGACACGGAAAGATGGGACATCATGGCACTGTATGTATGGGGGGGGGGCGGGGGCAGCCTTTGCATGAGAGGTCAGGTGGGCCAATGCTTTGGGAGCCCAGGAGTTTACCAGACCACGGCATTTGGAGAATGGGCTCAGTCTGTGTCCGGAGGCAGTCCTGAGCCCTAGATGTGAGGTGGTCCCCTTTTAAGCAAGTCAAGTATATCAATGGATGTAAACAATCACCAGCGCCACCTAGAGGCAATTATCTGGTGTTTCTGGTATTAACTGAGTCTACAAAAAGAGAACTGCATTTAGAATATAGCAGATCAAATAGACCAAATATGCTTTTTTCTGGAACATAGGTTCAAAAGAGCAAAGTACTTAACTACCGATGAAGTGAATTATTAATATAGGAAATGATGCATTTGACACTAGTTTTCCTCTTCTTGTGGTTTGAAAACAGGCTTGTGCTCAGTCATGTTGAGTAGAAAGTGCCCTAGTACCCCCCCCCCCCCCCATCAAAAATCCCTCCTGACCAAAATGAATTTCAATTTGTGCCTTTAAGGAATATGGAAAAGCTCCCTTTTAAAAACTTCGGAAAGCGATTGGGTCCAAGGTCCTGGAGCACAAGGGCCCCCCTTGTGTTGTGGAGGAAGCTGTGATGTTTTGGGATCTCGCCTGTTTGCCTGTGATATTCTTAGCTAAGGCCTATAACTGCACTTCAGTTCCAGCATGTTTTTCTCCCTCTGTCTGCCTGCCTCGGTCCCACGTACATCCCAGGGTCCACTCGCCGCTCTGTGTGTTCTGCGCTGGTCTCTGTGTGTTCTGCGCTGGTCTCTGTGTGTTCTGCGCTGGTCTCTGTGTGTTCTGCGGTGGTCTAGTCCCCCGTCAGCTTGTCCTCTTTGTCCTGCTGCCCTGTGCAAACAGTTCGGTTCCCGTCTTGCCGTTTCCTCCAGACCATGTGACCCCCCTGTTCTCCAGCGGCGCCGGGGCAGTACGTTATACAACAATTTACACCCGTAAAGCAAAAGCATGCGGCTCTTATGTGGAAATCTTCCAGCCATGCAGGTTGAGATCAGGAGCGGGAGCGCGGTCATGTGTGGTGACCAAAGACTTTGAGGATTTGAGAGCATAAGACGTCCAAAGCAAGCAGTGACTGTTCCTTTTCCCGCCGTTTTCCGCGCTCTGTTCCTGAGCACCAGTTGGCAGTCGTGGCCTCTGGGGCTTCCAGAACTCTTGCCTGAAATATGTCTTCCTGTCATGAAACCCACCCTTGTTGACTCGCCTGCTGAGCGCCTATGTTACACCAGCTACAGTCTGCGCTCACTCACTGGGGGTGAAATGTTCACCCTCTGCTCAGGAAACCTAAAGTCCGACGTATTGTGTTTTAGGCCTGAGGAAGCAAAACCTCGACTGCATTTAGCGGCTTTCTGTGTCTCGGTCCTGGATGGAGGGATGATGGCGTGGAGCCAAGCCACAGGAAGCCCGTATTCTTCCCTGTGATTTTGTGGGATGGCTCTCGCTGCCCGTCCTGCTTGAACAGTCATAAAGGCAGAATTGCAGGGCTCCATTTTGGTCTCCCGACAGCGTCTGGCGATGCAGGCCTGCTGAATCGCCTGTTTGTCTGTGTGTGCGTGTGTGTGCGTGTGTGTGTGTGTGTGTGTGTGTGTGTGTGTGTGTGCACCCTTTCGGTCCATCTGAGTGCTGAAGCGCCCAATTGAACTAATTATTAAGCTAACGGCCCATTTTAGCCTTAGCTTTCTTCTCAGTAGCGCGGCTGTTAGCAGGCCGGAAGGCTCGAACCCGCACAGACGCGGCAGCCTGGCCGGAGCTGGTTTACCATCAGCAGCATTATATCTGTGACTGTGCTGTAACCAGTGACGCCTACGGAAAATTCCCATTGGTGGCCATAAGGAACCAGTTATATTAACGTGGCACGCCACACCCTGCTCTTTCTATGGTCCTGCTTATGAATTAAAATAATTAAAAATATATTTTTATTAATTTGGCAGGAATTAGCAGGCCCACATATTTACCTTTTTACTTTTAACTTTTGTACTGTACTCTGTCATACTGTACTCTGTCATACTGTACTCTGTCATACTGTACTCTGTCATACTGAACTCCGTACAGTATGTAACGCCACCCAGCATACATGTGATACGCACTCTTTCTGCCTAGTGGGCCTGATTGTGACCCTTTTGGTGCTTTTCCACTGGCATACAGGAACCAGGCCGTACCCGAGCTGCAATTCAAAGAGACACTAGTTACTGCGCAGTTACAGCGTGCTTCAGTTTTCCACTGCAGAAGGGTCGGCTCTATAAAAGCGTTGCCGGGTTTGGAGAGCGACAGCAACGTAAAACCAAAGAGACGCCTATTCACTGTTCATACGATGTGCACCATGATTTACTACGTGCTAATTTCCGCAAGCATGTCTAAGAGAATCTCTGTCGTACGTTAGTGTCGAATGCTAGCGTAATCAGCATTAGCTTCCATAAATCTGCTTTACAAATCCATTCCGTTCAGCTGTTCTATAGTACCTTTTAAGTAGGAGGTTGGAAATTTTCAGGTTCCGCGGTTTCGGGAATGCATCGCAAAACTACTAATAACGAATAATACATAGAATATATGCTCAGAACACCGGTATTTCTGTGCATTTTGACCAATCAGATGGTGACACAACCAGCTCGGTTTGGTGGCCCTAGCAGGACCGTGTTGGTACAGGTCGGGTACTGCTCGCGGTACAGGTCGGGTACTGCTCGCGGTACAGGTCGGGTCCTGCTCGCGGTACAGGTCGGGTCCTGCTCGCGGTACAGGTCGCGGTACAGCTCAGGTACGGCTCAGTTCTTTGGTCGTGGAAAAGCACCATTTGATTGCTGTATCTGACAATAAGAGGTCATTAATTTAAACCACGGCTGACAATATCAACGCAAATGTTTTGGTTCTTTTCTCGTTTTTTGGAATGACCTATCAATGACCGTCTGTGGCCACGGTAACAGAAAAACAAGTTTATGCTCTTATCATAAAAGAAATTGGACAGTTGGTTCCATGTGGCTGGGCTGCAACGTCTGCTCTGGTCTAAGGGGAGGCTGGGTTTCCCAGAATGCAGTGCATGCGTAAACCAAGTGCCTCTCCACCACTTCTGTCCAAGCAAACATCACCATTATCTTCATGTCGGGGCAGTGACATCGATGGACGGTCACCCTGACACGTCCCCTATCAGCCGCTAACGACCTCCCCGGGTCGCCGGATGAGCCGTTAAACTTTAAGCCGTCTGTTTGAGTAGCCTCTGTGACTCCCTGCTGATGGACTCACTGTGTGAGATGTTCAGTCTGAGTGGCTTCGTGGAGGATAATAGGTTCACCTGGGAGACGGCAACCTCTGGGCAGGTGGCTTGTGTTTGACGTCCTGCACGATCACACCAAGGCTGAAGGAGGTGCTGGGCTCGCCTTAAGAGGGAAGCTTCCGGTTAAATTACCCTGTATGGCGGCAGAGGAGATGGTCTGGATGGAAAAGTGGGGCGTAGGCTCACACCTCAGCATGAAAGGACCCAGAAAGTGGGGGGGTGGACGCAAACGCGGTGTGGACACGCTGTTAAAGAACACGAGCTGAAGAGAGAGGATGGTGTGGACTGCAGGCTACGACGTCTCTGGTAGTGAGTCAGGCGTTGGCCGGAAACCAACAGGGAAAGTACCGACATGATCAGGGCTTGAGTTCAGAGCAAACCGGGAACCTTCTGCGGTCCTAACAAAAGCTGATCATCTATATCAGATGTGAAAAATTAGGGTTGCACCTAAGATTTGCAGAGGGGTAGATCTGCAGGAATTGGGTTGGTGACCACTGTCCTGACCTTCCTGTAAACAGCTGAAATGTTCAAATCTAATACCCATCTGTCTGGCCCCCCACATACTGCTTCTCAGGCTCCCAAAGCCTGCTGGTAGATGGGATCCCTCCCCCCCTGCAATGCTCCTCACCCCCTCCCGCTGTTAATCCCTCATTTTCTTCTTTTTCCTCTCATTCCAGATATGCCATGGCCCTCTACAACCAGCACGTCTGTCCCATGGATAACTGGTATAGTGGCTCCGCCTCTCATCCGCTATCCCACACGCGACATGCTCCCGTCATCCCGCTCGTCCCGGCGGCTTTCGGTTGGAGAATGGGCCGTCCAGTCAGGGTGACCTGTGCAGCACAGTCAATGGGCCGTCCGGTCAGGGTGACCTATGCAGCACAGTCAATGGGCCGTCCGGTCAGGGTGACCTGTGCGGCACAGTCAATGGGCCGTCCGGTCAGGGTGACCTGTGCG